TCCTAAACGTTCCTGATCATAGGATTGTCAATTGGGCATTGACAGTCCGTTAAGATCAGTACGTGCTATGTCTTCTCTCAGGGAGAGTGACTAGTCTCGAGTCATTGGTGTGTGTGACATCAAGACAAGTACGTAGGTGCTCAATAGAGAATGAGTTCACTGAACACGGTCAACGAAGAGTTCTCATATTCATGTCACATGAGAACTCATGGTTGGGATAATGCAAATTAGTCTTTTGACCTGAGGCATCACAGTTGTCTTGTGGTTAGGTCCTTAATCTTTGATTATGTCAAAGTCACTCCATCAGGAGGGTGTCCATGGCATCGTTGGGGTTAAGCCACTTAGCCATGGAGGTAAGTGAATGCGCAACAAGGGATCTCTAACCTTCAAACTGTTTGAGGGAGAATACTCTATGATATGATTAAGAATCTTTGGCCAAAGTATGAATGAGATTTAGGAATGTGTTCCAAATCACATTCAAGGTAATCATATAAGCACAAGACTCACATTGGATAGTAGACATGAATAAACTATCAAACCAAACAATGTGGTCAAGAGTATTGTATTAGAGAAAGACCGTATTGCATTTGTAATCCTAAAACTGAATAGGTTCTCCACCTCTTCTGATTAGCTTGGGTAACCATGACATGCTGTTAGGCGTCAACCATGGTTTGTGGAAGCCCTAAAAGTGTATTATCACTAACGGGAGAATTGAAAGTAAGTTTCAATTCACAATCGATTAGAAAGAGTTTTAATCGCCCACTGCCTCGCTAAAAGGAACCTAATGGATTGTTCACCGAGTAAGGTAGAGTTTGAAGAAACAACGGAGATGAGTAAGAATAATTAAATGGTTTAATTGTTTATCTAAGGCTAGGATTAATTAATATGTTAATTAATCAAACGAATAAGTTCATTAAAGACCTCGGGTTAGTTTTGGGCCGCAAGGCCCAATGGGATTTGAATGTCAAGCCCATTAACTCAAGTTGTATGACAACTTGAATAAACAAAGGGCTTGAAAGCCCAATAAACCCTATAGGCTTGCCATGTTAGAAGAATAGGGCTTTTGGTCCATTAGGTCACTTATTTGAAGGGACTATATAAAGGACTTTATAGCCTAAAATTTACATATGGTAATTTTTGGGGAAAGGATGAGAACACAAGCTCTCATTTCTCTCTAAAATTTAGGCCACCTTGGAGGGATCATCTAGCAATCAAACTCCTCCAAGGTCACTCATTTCTTCTTCATTATGCCTTGGTGATGAATCATTGGAGGTTCTCAATTTTGGGAACTTTGGAGAAACCTTTTCATCCATCCAAATCCATGGATCTAAGATGCAAGGAATGAAGGCCCTCTCTTTGGGTGATTAGCCTTTGCTTATGCAAAGAGGAATCTACAAAGGTATTGATTTCTCAACTCACTTTGTTTTGAGTTGAGTCTTGGTTCACCTATCTACTAGGCTTTGAATTTCATGGGTAAATGTTTTGTTTTTAAGTGTATACAAGCATGATTCCGCCTTTAATTGTTAATTGCATGCTATTGATGTTGCTTAAATGAACATGTTTTTCACAAATCTTCCTTCAATTCTTGGACTTCTGCTCAGTTCCGTTGAGGGATCCGAAACTGAGTTCAACTGGGGTTCCTTTGAGTGGTCTGGTTCCTTGCTCCGTCTGGATTCCGTTGAGAGGTCCGGAATCCCTCATGCTCCGCGATTCCATTGAGTGGTCTGGAATCCTATCTAGCTTAGATTTTGTTGAGTGGTCCGATATCCATTGTACTCCACGATTCCGTTAAGTGGTCTGGAATTATATCCACTCGGATTCCGTTGAGAGGTCTGAAATCCAGTTTAGTATTATGGTTTCGTTGAGAGGTCCGAAACCTGATTAATTGCTTTGTTGATTCTTCAGATTGAGTTTGGATTAAGATAGCTTCAGATGTGTAGGCTTCGGCTGAACTGTATTGCTCTAGCCCTGCATTTCGATGTATTGTATGTGTTATTGATTGGGGTGATTATTGGATGGTGTTGGAAAACATATGTGTGTGAATGACAAGATGACTAGAGAATATTATTGTGCTTCGTCGAATGTTCCTTGAGATGTTGCATGCCTAAATCGTGGTATTATGTTGGGACATAGTTGTTTATGTAATGAATGTTCGAGTATAGTGAATGACGAACTACGAATTGCTTAATCCTTGTTTAGGGTACATAGGCAGTCTAACGAGGTGGTTAGATGCAGCCATAAAACATACAAAAAATTACTATGCGATTTGATTCGATTCTTGAGTTGTGCTTTGCCCATATCCCGAATGAGGGGTATGTTAGATACGAATTTTTGGTGACGTCACGTGTCAATATTGGACGTATGTCGAGATCAGGATATGACAACTCGTCTCTCAAAATTCTCAACCAGGGAATTATCCGTATTTTTACTAGTTTTGTACCTCGAACCCAAATACAGAGAGCAAACCTGACTTGAAATTTTACCGTACTTCTGTTGGACCACTTGTCTTAGTTAAAATGTTTCTTCTAGATCTAATTCTTTTGGATGACAAGTCCAAGTTGTGGTTTTCTCACCCTTTACATATTTCACTTTAAGAGGAGACATTTTTATTGGTTGAAATTGAAAAAGTTAACGGAGTATCACAGACATATTGTGAAATACTCTAGCTAAAAAAATGGATTTAATCATAAACCCTAATATAGTAAGTAGAGTTTGATGTTTCAACTAAGGTTGGACGTTCTCTTCATCAATTCGAATCTCGAGACTCAAAAAAAAAGAGTAAGCAGAACCAAGTCAAGATGATATTCATCAACAATTACCTATAGGAATAGAGGAGATGCTTCCAATTGCATCAACCATAGAGTTTCAGATAATACTAATTCAAATGCCATAAACCTAAGTCCCAACAAATCAAAGCTCCAATGTCTATTTTAAGGTGCATGGTGATAGTGTTACTACTCAACAAAGTGTTTTTTTCCCGTTAAAGTAAATTTAAATAAATATAACGACTATATATAATTTAAGTGGGACAACCTTTTGCTTATAAATCCAATAAGATACGGACACATGTCCCTGAGTCAAGCCACCTTCGTGACATGGCACGTATATTATTACCATGGCGTATTGTGGTAATAATACAATGTTATGAAATTTGATGCCCATGTTAGTATTCAACACCTAGCATGCCAACTCTTTTTAGTTGCTTGTAGCTAGAAATTTGATGTTTGCATCTCTATTGTATTGTATGTCTCGTGATATTAATCAGGTCATATGTCTTCTTTTAAAATTGTTACTTTAATTTCTAATATTCATGTTTGGGTATGGATAGTTTTCTGCTATCCTCTATACTATCTATGTTGTTTAATAAATCACCCAATTAAAAAAAAATACGAAGGCCTTGTTTGGCACGTCGTATTAAGCGTCAGATAGGATTAATAATAAGGTAATAGTTGTTTGGTGCACTATCGTACTAAATAAGAACCCACTTAATTATATGATCCATGAAATTTAATACGATTGACACCAGACAATTAATACAACCCAAAAGCTCAGTATTATTAGTTGGGGGCGCTAACCAAAAACACCCTCACTTCTCCTCTTTGGTTTCACGCATCTGCTCCTTGGCGAATCCTCTCCATCTTCAAGAGTAGTTCCTCGACGAGTTCTCGACCCTAACCGCCATTCCTCTATAATCGGTCGCCAAACAATTTCCCATATCGTCTACCACTTCCTGCTCTATCATGTTTCAGTCGTTGACGTCAAAGCACGACGATGTGGACGAAAAGGAAGTTGAGATCAGGAAGCCCGATCAATGTCAACAATAATAGACTCAACAGCTCAATGATCTTCCGTTGCCGACAATGTTGGATTTAGCTCTGATGGCTCTGGTTAACTCGGACCTTTGTCATGAATTGATTTCTTTTCTTCATCAATTTGGATTTTCAATTTAATTAGTAGTTGTTTTGGTTGGTGAATTGATGTGGGTTCTGGGAGACTGAAGAAATGAGGAAGTGGGATCATATGGGAGGGTGGGATTTGAAGCATGGAGAAGATGGTGAAGAAAGAAAAAAACACTGTTCTAAAAATCCCCGACTAGCGCCGCCTAGGCGCTAGGCGGCTGGTCATTGCCCCGATTAATGCCTAGGTGTTTGAAAATTAAGAAATGGTGCCTAGACCTGCTGAGGCACCCGCCTAGACCACCTAGGCATCCACCTAGCCTGCCCAAACCCGCCTAAGCAGCTACCTAGGTTGTGGCTCACTTAGACAGAAAATAGATAACTTTTATTTTACATTTTTTTTCCTTCAATAAATTGTAAAAGACTAGTTGTAGACTTAAATGAACACACATTATATGCTTGTTCTCTATGTTTTCACTATATTCCAATATTTCAAAATATATATATATATATATATATCATTCTATTTTGTAGTTTATGATGAAATTGTTTATATTTTAAGTATAAACTGGCACTTATTTACACGAAATATTATAAATTTACATAAATCCGTCTAGTCTGCCTAGGCACCCGCCTAGCCACTAGGCCCCAACCCGCCGTCCGACTAACGCCTAGCGTCTTTTAGAACCTTGAGAAAAAGCTACTGGGAAGAGACCTAGGTTTTTCACCTTTTTTTTTATTTAATTTTGTTTGTAATGATGTTTAATTACTTTTTTTTTCCTTTCTGTTTTTCTTTGTTTTTCTCCCTTTTTATCATTTTAATAATTATTATGTGAATTTAAAAAAATTTACTATAGTCCGACGTGTTATACGATGAATAAATTAATTCAATACAGCACCAAACGTTTGACTAATTTAATTAATATTATATGAAGACTATTTATCATATCCAACTTAAATAATCATTACAGTCCGAACTGCCAAACAAGATCTAAAAGGCTAGAAGAGGTGAGAACAATAATATACTCATTTAATATAAGTTGTTCTTGTTCAAACGCTTTCAACTTCCGATCTCCAACTGAAGCTCAGTCCAACCGGTTTCAGAACAGTTCGAGTCCCAATGCCACGTGTACGGCCGCGATGCAATTTCCACGCAAAGAGAACGTGCAGGGCACCCACATCATCTTATATCTTTTTTCGCTCGACTTCAAAATCCAAGTCGCTCTCACACTGTCAGATCTCACCACGATCTCCATCCGTACATTATCCGGCTTGTTTTCCGGCCGACGCCGGAAACTTCATTGATCATCGTCTACGGATCCCACAGTCAGGTTTGCATTGAAAATACCGCTGCTTTTGATGATACGTTACAGAGTAGGGTCTTAGGGTTAAGAGTCTCTCTTCCTATTTAGCTGATTAAGTCCCTTTTTGGTTGCACTGCTATTCAATAAGTGATTTTCAATCCTGGATTTTCAGAAAGTGGTATTCTTTGCATGACAAGTTCGATTTTCGCTTCGTTTTTCAACATTTTCTCGGTTGCCAGACAAAGCATGACTCATGTATTTTTGGTGGATCATCATTGTTTAGTACTTTAATTAATTATGTTTATTGATGTATTTATTTGTTTAATTTTGTCTGGCAGATAAGTGCTTAAAGTTTTGAGCTTGAGCAGTTTGGTATTTATAAAATTGGACTATCAATGTGCGTTGTTGGTGGAAGGAGACTTGTATATAGGAGTGTAAATAGTTGTGCAACCAGGTCCCCGGCAAGTGTAACAGCCTCGGCGGAGTGGAGTTCGAAGTGAAGCGGCAGAAATGGTATGTTTGAATCAAGTTTCATGTCTCTTTAATGGCGTTTTGCTTTCGAAATTGGCTTTTTTCATGTGTTTTTAGCAATGTGGTTTCAGTGATGCCTTGGTTTGTATCTTTTTGTTATTGGTTCGGTTGTTAGGTTTTCGTATGCAAATGTGTTCGAAGTTTTGGCTCTCATAACTGATTGACGTGTTTCGTTGTCGATTTAAGGTTTCTAGTTTTAGCTTGTTATTTATTTACAACCACCATAGAGCTTTAAATTTTCTTATTTTCGTATATGTAAATTAGTTATGCAGTGAAGACGTCTTCCTGAGTAGTATTTGTGACAGTCTTTTCAGAATCACGGCCTTTGGATGGCAAAGGGTACTGGGTGTCTAAACGAAGGTGAGGCACTGTATGATAATTCTTCTCGAATTGAGCCTAAGCGTTCTCATCAGTGGTTCATGGATGGTCCTGAGGTAGGGATATCCCCCAACAAGAAACAGGTTGTTGAAGTTCCAAACAACAATCTGTATTCAGAAATGTTAAATGCAAATGTTTCTCCGTGGGGAAATGTTCCTGGTTTTCACTCATTCTCTGGCCAATTTGCTGAAAGGTTATTTGATTGTGAAATAGACCGGGCTGTGAAATTTGATGACACGAACATTCCGTCTGTTGGAACGGAAAAGATGAATTTGGCTAGAAAAGTTAATGAGGATCTATTTGGGAATGACTCCTCATTTGGTCTATCTATGTCCAATACACTAGAAGATCCTAGATCCAGTCCTAATTACGGTGGATTTAGAAAAGTCAAAGTGAGTGAGGTAAAGGACTCTGAGAATGGCATGCCCTTTTCAATAGGACAAACTTATATTCGGGCAGATAATGATGCCATGTTGGCGTCTCACGCTTACAAGGCCAAAGACAACTCAGCTTCCACGGGTCCCATTTATAAGAAAGGGGATGACAACTTCATATCCATGAGTGATACCTACAGCAGGGCAGATAACAGCTTCATATCAATGGGGCAACCCTTTAACAAAGGGGATGACAGCATATCGTTTGGTCAATCGTACAAGGAGAGCAATAACACCCTGTTAATGGGTCAGACATGCAATAAGAGTGACAATAATATCATTTCTATCGGCCAAACCTATAAGGTAGAGGAAAATACCATATCAACAGATAATTTCTACAATAAAGGGGAAGAGGGTACCATATCCGTTGGTCATGCGACTCATGCCTACAGCAAGGGTGACAACAATATGTTGTCAGTTGGGCACTCTTATAATAAGCGAGAGGGTACTATCATATCCTTTGGCGGATGTGATGATGATGATGTGAATACCTCTGCAGTCTTTGGTTATGAACTTCTGATGGGTCAACCTTTTGTGAAAACAGAAACCGTGAATGAGAAAGAGTTGGGAAAATCAAATTCCGGTGCATTTGTTAATGTACCTCATATAACTGCTGGAAACGAAAATGCCCTGAAAAAGATAGTTGAACAGAAAACGTCTAAGAAGGTTCCTCCGAACAACTTCCCTTCAAATGTGCGAAGTTTGCTGTCAACAGGTATCCTGGATGGAGTTCCTGTAAAGTATACAGCCTGGTCGCGGGAGGTAAAATCCTAGTACTCATGCTTTCATTTTCAGATTAGATTATGTTCGGTGATACATATGTCCTTCATATGCATTTCAGAAGGAGCTGCAGGGTGTTATCAAAGGTTGTGGGTATCTATGTGGCTGTCAGTCGTGTGACTTCTCAAAGGTGAGTTTGTTCAGTTTTTGCTTTTAACATATTGAAGCCTGGTTTGATGTCAATTGGACTCGACATGCTTATCAGGTAATCAATGCATATGAATTTGAGCGTCACGCTGGTTGCAAAACGAAACACCCAAATAATCACATATATTTTGAGAATGGTAAAACCATATATGGGACCGTTCAAGAGCTCAGGAGCACACCACAGAATATGCTGTTTGAAGTTATTCAGACTATTACTGGTTCGCCTATCAATCAGAAATCCTTCCGCCTTTGGAAAGGTGATGCACATGATCTCTTTATTACTGCTGGACCCTTGACTTGTCCGTACACCGTTTGACACTCCAAATTTCCCATTTTATTTCTGGTATACCCGCTTTATGTTACGAACACTGTCTTCTCATGCGTGCTCCTTTCTCCTTTTCAGAATCCTTTTTGGCAGCAACACGTGAACTTCAGCGTATATATGGCAAGGAAGAGGGGAAACAACTTAAATGAAGCAAGCTTGTCCGGAGGCAGGACCATCTTTTGTTTTGTGAATACAAGTAATCGTTTTTTGGCTGTACATTGGTACTCATTTGACGGTGACTTCATCACTAACGCAATGGCTCGGCATGGTTATGTGAAGGACAAGGTGTTCTTGTAAATCTTTGAGACAAACCTTATGTCAGAATAGAACCTCCGTTTTTAGTCGTCGGACATACGATGACGGGTTGTAGTTTGTATTTAGTAAGAGTCTTGAAGGAAATGAAATTTTAAGATAATTTGGCACTAAAAACAACACTACAAGAAAATTGATCTTTGGCGTGACCATTATACACTAGTCACAAGCAGGGCCTGAATTAGCGACCAATTTTGCCAACCGATCACAAATGTTCACGTTGCTCAGTGAAATTTGTTTAGGCTATGTTCGGGTGAAGGATATATACATTTTGGATTCCTTTTATCATTTGTTCTTTTCGATTTCTCCTCGCTTTTCATTTGCAAGATGCGATTGTGATGGCCTCAAGATTGAGATTTTCTTTTACATCGCGTGCTTGCTTCGTTGGCGTTAATTCATCTTCGATTGCTTTGTCCGCGGACTCATAATCTTTCGCTTTTACCCCATACAACAAGATATAGGCCGGCGATTATGACCACAGCACCCAGCAGCCTGTAAAAAGATAAAGTTAGAGTTGTTTAGAGTATCGCTTTGTCAAAACAAAAATTACACATAAAGCATGCAAGAGTGAGGGAGCTTATGCAGAATGAAGGAGCTCATGACAGCAAAAATAACCATGCTTAGGGGACTGAATGCTGTCAAAAATACGGGACCTCTCTTTCATTACTACTCCTTGAATGTAATAAGCTAGTCCTGAACAGAATATTTCCTGCATGGATGTTGTATAAATTATTATATATAAAGAGGTGAATTATAGACGGAAATATGCACAAATACAACGCTTATGAACTATTTAATAAAATAAAAAAAGCTAGAAGAACACTAGACATACAACTAACGGACTTTAAACCATAGTTTATATACGGTTTATTATTTGAAGGTCTAGTGATTAGGCCTTGGGCAAGATTTATAATGTGGACCCTCATTAAAATACAACTTTGCATGTATAAACACCACTTTGATCTCTTATTTCGGAGGTTATCTTGATGCAAGTAAAAGGCGGAAAAGAAGAAAATTGCTATTTACACTTACAAAAGTAACCATACACTCTTTCCTCTAACTACTTGTGCCAATAACAGCTCCGGAAAAAGGAAGATAAAACCATCACTTGCAGTCTTGCATCATATCTTCTCGGTCCTCCTCTACTCCAAGAACAAAAGCTCATGCCCATTTTTTTTTGGTCGATTCATGTCCTCATCTTGTCGAACTAAATATGAATGGTTTAATCGGTGGAATACATATCCCCTTAAGTATCAGCAATTTCATCTTATGGTCAAATTTCTTAAAAAATAAATAATGCAGCTTTTTGGTGTAGCTCTATGGGCAGCCGCAACATCAGGAGGTATACCCCAACGTCCTCAGAAATCCAAGCAAAGTTGATTCGATCCCTGTTTCGCAGACAGGACTTGTGCCAAACAGCGTCAGGAGATTACATATGTGTGATTCATGCCAAATGCACCAACAAAAGTCTTAACACCACCCGCGAGGCGAACAAAATACGGCCGTGTTTCGGAGCACCTAAACTACTTGCGTCCGGAACAAAAACAAACTACCGTAAGTATGATGAGATATGCTAGCGTTAGTTGTTAGTTGTCCATGCTCGTACGTGACCATAAACCATTGATTAGCATCGCCTTCACTTCCACAGCAATCAATGGTTACCACCACGAGCAGCAAACCCAAACGGATCGTAAACGTATGATAGTTGTCCGCATAGTCTAATAACTTAACACAAAAAAGTTTAAAACAAAGGGTAGGGAATTTCACATATTTTCTCCAGGAAAATGAAGGAATGCGCGGGAAAGGAGAAAGAGAATGCTCAAGAAGATAAGCCTAAATGAAAAATCAACTTATATATAATTGACTTCCCAAAATATGAGGATCTACCATTCACACCCAAATCACAAGTACTTATAAAATAATGATAATAGAAAGCGATGCAAGCACAAGTAACATAGTTGTGACAAATCAGTTTTTCTCCCCAGCGTATTCGTTGCGTTTGCCTTAAACATTTACCCATCACATCATGTTCGACACAGTTTTCTTAAGAACCGCAACACGCTGAATTTTGGGCAGCTTGAGCAGCCCCAGCTCCCTGGTCTGGTTGGTTAATCTTGATTGTCTGAGGCTGCCAAAATCCAACAAAAGTAACCTCAGTATATCATCAGAGCACGAGATGAAAGATTGGGTTTAATCAAACGATCGCCAACCAGCTCTAGTTGGTAGCAAAGACTTGATAATGAAAAAAACAATTCAGCACTATAGAGGGTGACCGACTTCCAACTGATATATGCGCCCACTACGCACTTTCATTTAATTATTGAACAGAAAGAGTTTCTTTAAGCCTGAAAAGGCACTCTGTTCCGTTTAATTATTAAAAAGAAAGCGTTTCTAGAGCTTAAAAATGGATACCATATATTTCAAGTGTTAAGTTAAAAAGATCAGATAAGTACCAATAATTTAGTTATAGAAAGGAAAGCAAGCTATGTATGTATCAGAAGGAATGTAGTAATATCAGTGACATGGACATTATACCTCAGCCCTCGAGTCAGTATCAGCGAGTCTTTGCTTGATATCCCTAGCTATTGAAAAGAAGACCTCTTCCACATTCAAATTTGTCTTTGCACTCTGTAATTCACAATATCTTTTCAGCAAAATGGGAAAAAACCGAACTACATTGTAAGTAAGAAGACATCATGGGAAACTCACGGTCTCAAAGAATTTGATGCCATATTCATCAGCAAGGGCTTGACCCTTCGATGTGGGGACAGCCTGAAAGAGGTCACTCTTGTCAATACAAGATTGAAGAACACTGAATCACACTCAAGAAACATACAAAGAAGGGACTGGAACAAACCCTTTTGCTTTCATCCATGTCAGCCTTGTTACCCACAAGGATCTTGTTGACATTGTCAGAAGCATGCTGTTCTATGTTACGAATCCAATTCCTAATGTCTGAATACAGGTAGAAATATAGCTTGATTACCATGTATATGTAATAACCAAAAAATGTAAAAAAAAAAAAAAAAAAAAAAAAAAGACCCTAAAAAAATCACATATAATTCCAACAGTCCAAGTGTACAACCCTCATATCAGGAAAAACATAGCCTTTTTTTCATATTTTTTGGAAAAGGAGAAATATACTGTAATCAAGTTAACAATACATAGATCAATAAAGATCTACAAATCTAGGGAGCAGACAAATGATGAATATAAGCATAGGGTGATGTAAGTGATGAAGAAGTTACTGTTAAACGATGACTCGTCAGTGACATCATACACGAGCAAAATACCCATGGCTCCACGGTAGTAAGCTGCAGAGACAGAATACTTGACAAGGTTATCAAAATTCTTAGGAAATGAAGGCAAGAGTCCAAAAACTATCAATCTAAAAGATAATATGAGATCTCAGCACAATTAACAGCTTTGATGTATTTTGGAGCCACTCAAAAAGGCAACCAAATATTATGACTCATAAGACAAGGTAAGAGTTACTGCATAAACTAAATGTGCTGAACCCAGTTCCAGCTCTGACCATTCACTGTGCCCACCGGCCTGACCCACAAAAGTTGAAAAATGAGATAAAAATAAGGCATGCAACCAACATACTGAACTGGCCCTAATCATTAGGTTTACATAATTCTTCCATGCATGTCTCACAATTGTAGCAAGAAGGCAACAGAGAAGCCCTGGAATTGTACAAGACCCTCGACATTCAGATTGCCACAAGCCAGCAATATAGAAAATATGGAAATATCTTAAATTTGGACCAACAACCCGCTTATCCAGAGTATTAAGTTTCTTGCTAGTGGTCTTGCTGACAGATTGGTGAACACCTAACAAAACTGATCCCAGTGGACTAGTGGAGTCAAACCAAACATAGTATCAATACAAACATACAACACTACAGCAACACCATGCCACTTTTTTGACAGGAGACACTAGTAGTAACAGCTTCCAACCTACTCTTTAATGCTCCACTTGATCAAATTTACAGCTCCAAATTGAATTTCGGAACCGAATACAAGCCCTGCTGAGCTTGAAGATATTGGGTTCTTCTAACTTAAAAACATTTAAGATCCAATTTCGGTTAATACATGCTCCTTCATGAAGATGCATAATTGATAAACAAGCTTGCAAACACAGCTGTAAGCAGCACACAATCAAAATTATATTTAGGAGAAAGTTGGACTTGGACATGGTTACACATTCAAGTTCAAAGGGAAAACAACGCGAAGCCACAGAACTAACCAGTTGTAATTGTTCGAAACCGTTCTTGACCAGCAGTATCCCAAATTTGCAATTTAATTCTTTTCCCATCAAGCTCTATGGTCCTTATCTTGAAATCAATACTGTCAAAGAATTACAACCTAGCAAGATTCAGAAACCATTGCAGAAAAAAGAGATAACAAAACCTTAACACATTCAAGCACAAAAAATTCCTACCCAATGGTTGTAATGAAACTAGTTGTAAAGGACCCATCAGAGAAACGCAGTAGAAGGCAACTCTTACCCACACCTGTAAAGTCACACAACAAAGAAAACAAAAGGGAATTAAACTCAAACTAATGGTTGTGGTACATACAAGGAAACATAAACCATAACTGTGAACATGCTTGACATCCTTAATCAATAAAGATACGTCATCTGATCCTAGTAACCCTTGAAAGGCATTTGAAAACAATAAAATCATTGGTAGCCTGATGGTATTAAATAGAACTAACCAACCCAATGCAACAAACATTCCCTTAAATTTGGAAAAAGTTCAAGGTGTTAGATTGAACGAGAACTTCAGAAATATCAATGAACTAGCAAATACATGTTTACGAAACTGCTTCACACAGCTAGTGCGTTTAGGCTCAACCATTACTTTATGTTTTTAGATTGAAGAGGTGTCTCAAATATGCATATCTTGGCCTATTGGAAACTCCCAAGGTGTGGGCCCCTATAAGTAGTCACCCATTAGAAAAGTTCAATCTTGCAACACTTGCCAAAAGTAATGCACTAATGACAATTTCCTTACCACCGGGAACACATTATCAAAGAAATTATGCTAAGTGACTCCTAAGAAAGTAGAATTCACTATATAGATTGACCTGAACATGTGCTTCAAACTC